GAGAGAGAGAGAGAGAGAGAGAGAGAGAGAGAGAGAGAGAGAGAGAGGTTTTTTGTGAAGGAGTCTGAGAGCTTTGTGGTGAAAGAGGTACAATGTCTACTGTAAATCTTCTACCAACTCTCCTTTATTATACATCTCACATGTAACCTTAAGGTTTTGTAAATATAAAATATACAATAAAAAACATTGATTAAGTGAATTATTCAGTTGGAATCAGAGAAAGTTATTATTATATACCGAAGTAAGAACAAGATAATACAGGCTGTAGTCAAATCTTTGTAAACGTAAATCTTTCATTATCATATCAAGTGTCTTCAGCCTGTCAGTAAATATGAACATTACATCGGATTCAGGAATTATTCAAAGAGATTTCAGCAGCATCAGTACTTTCATGTGTTTATCCTCCTTTTTCTTTTTATTAGTATTTGATGTCGTTTCAATTCTTTACAAAGAATGCTCCAGTGGATATAAATGTCTTATTCCTGTCACTTTGATCCACATGTGATATGAGTGTGTGTGTGTGTGTGTGTGTGTGTTAGAGAGTGAAGCAGAATGGTGTGTTTGATGTTCAAGTGCATGTTTAACAGCTGGTATGAGGACAAGTCTGTTCTCTGCAGGTCTGCTGAGACCCTCAGCTCCTTTAAATCAAGATTGAAGACTTTTCTGTTTGCTGCTGCCTTTAATTAAACCACATTCAATTAATATATTAATCAATTTCCTGCATTTCTGCATTTTACTACTGTATTTTATTTCTTACACTGTTTTTTTTAATGTTTTAATGAATGTTCTTAATTGTTTTTAAATCTCCTTTTCTTTTGCCTTATGTTTTGATGCTTTTAATGGTTTTATGTGAAGCACTTTGAATTACCTTGTTGTTGAAATGTGCGATACAAATAAACTTGCCTTGCCTTGCCTCATAAGGAGAGGATGAGGGAGGGAGAAAACGAGTGGAAGAGTGGGATGAAGAGGGAGAGAAGAGGTTGTGTGTCTGTGTGTGTCTGTGTGTGTGTGTGTGTGTGTGTGTAAGGAAGAGAAAGGGAGAGGGAGAAAGAGTGAGCGAGCAAGCGAGCAAGGAGAGCGCTGAAACAGGAATAAAGTCGCGTACCACCGGGACTTCAACACGCACTGCACCATTCTACCGACTCCATCTATCACTGTGCTCCGGCCCCAGCAACAATGTGTGTGTGTCTGTGTGTGTGTGTGTGTGTGTGTGTGTGTGTGTGTGTGTGTGTGTGTGTGTGTGTTTGTTGAGGATGGAGGGATATTGTAGTCCGAGCTTAAAGCGAGAGCCACACACTGCAACGAAACACCATCACTGCACAGAGAAACCGTCCTCAGCCACCGGCTCGCTCTCTGTGTCGCCTCCGGAGCTTTGAAATTGATTTTCTGGCTTGATAAAACCGATGAATCCAATTATCTCCGTACTTCTAATCCACCTTTTGAGAGATTAGAGCAGCAACACCGACTGTGGTCTCCAGCATCAGCATCAAGGGGTTCAATTTGACTGATCTGACTGCCGCTGTGTCTGACAGGCTGTGAGGGACGGACGCAAATGACATCTGAGTTCTGACAGGTTTCTTTTCTCACAGAGGTAAAGGGTTGGTACATCAGACAAAATCCTCTACAATCAACGATTTGGACAATAAAAGTCATCAGAATTAATTGTTTGGGAACTGGAACTGTTCCAACTGCCATCTCATCAAATACCGATCCTTGGTCAGCGGCACTTAACATCTGATACTGGCACACTGAGGCACCCTTTCAACTAAGTCCAATATAAAGCCAACCGCGTCATTACTAAACTGACGTAGTATAAAAAACGAGGAAGTCCACAAAGGGCAGTGGGAGTGGCAGATGCATGGATGGGTCAAACAAACACAGGACTTTCACCCAGGAAGCCCGCTGTTTGTGTCCTGGGTGAAAGTCAACCGTGACTTATTTTACCAGAGTTTACAAAACTTATGAACTAAACCACCGCTAGTTACGTAACAAACCAAACACACTTATTTCATGTAACAGACATTTATTTTAACCCAACTACGATCTTTTCCTAAACCTAACCAAGTAGTCAAAAACGGACTCCCCAAGGGAACATAGAGAGTCATAGTAATATCACCAACACCAGTGCGTGTTACGACGTTAACCACGTGTTACGACGTTAACCACGTGTTATGAAGTTAACCAC